TTAGGAGCTTAAATTCCCCCTTTTCTCCCACTCGGGACTTCTAACACTCTAAAGAGAAAATCAGCAAAAATATAGAAGAACTCAATAATGCCATCAGCTGAAAGGCTCTAATTGACATTTATAGAACGCTCTGTCCAACAACAGCAGAATATACATTCTTTTAAAGGTTCCATGGAACATTTGCCAGGATAGGCCATATCCAAACTTTAACAGATTTGAAAGAACTGAAATCGTATCTTGTCTGACCATAGTGGAATTAAACTAGAAATCAAAAACAGGACACTCCGAACACCTGAAAGCTAAACAATAAACTTCTAAATAATTCATGGGTCAAAGAGGAGATCTCCAAGGAAATTTTTAAAATACACAGAACTGAAGAAAATGAAAATAAGCATATTAAAATTTGTGAGATGCAACTGAAAGGGAAATTTATGGCACTAAATGCTTACACTGGAAAAGAAAGAGTTATCTCAAATAACTAACCTAAGTTCCCAATTCAAAAAATTTAAAAAGAACAACAGCAAAGACACAACAAAAACCTCAAAGCAAACAGAAGAAAGGAAATTCTAACAAGTAAACATTAATAAAATTGAAAGCTGGAAAATAATAGAAAAAATAATTGGAACAAAACCGTGGTCTTCAGAAAAAAATCAGCAAAATTAATAACCTCTAGCAAGACTGGCAAAGATAAAAAGGAGAGAAAACACAAGTCACCAATGTCAGGAATGAGATACCACAACAAATGCTGTAGCCATTAAAAGATAATAGGAAATACTACATACAGCTTTATGCTCATAAATTCAGCAGTTTAGAAGAACTGGGCCAATTCCTCAAAAACCACAAACTACCAAAACTCAGCCAAGCCTAAACAGATAATCTATTCAGTTCTACAACTATTAAAGAAATTAAATTTGTAATCAAGATACAAAATTATCTTCAGGCCCAGATGTTTTCACTGGAAATTTTTACCAAACTCTTAAAGAATAACTAATGCCAATTTTACAGAATCTCTTCCAGAAAATAGGAGAGGAGATTCTTTTTATGTGGTCATCATTTCTGATACCGAAACCAACCAAAAGCAATTAAAAAAAAAAAAGCTGAAGACCATTATCTCTCAAGCAGTTAGAAGCAAAAATTATCAACCAAATTTAACTAATTGAATGCAATTTATAAAAGAATAAGACACCATGACCTAAGACTAATGCCAGGCAGGCAAGACAGATTCAATATATTTGAAAATCAGTCAGTATCGTCCACCATATCAACAGGTCAAAGGAGAAAAATTCTATGATCATATCAGTTGATGCAGAAGAATCATTTGACAAAGTTAAATACCCAGTAATGATGGAAAAAAATAATAACCCTCCCAGTACACCAGGAATAGAAGGGGACTTCTTCAACCACATAAACACTACATCAAACTTTGTATTTAATGGTGAATGACTGAGTACGTTCACTCTAAGTTCTGGAACAAAGCAAGGATGTTTGCTCTCACCACTTTTACCCAACATGTCCTGGAAGTTCTAGCCATTGCAGTAAGGCAGGAAAAAGTAATAAAAGGCATACAAACTGGGGGGAAAAAAAGAGAAATAAAACAATCTTTTGTTGCAGGCAACACGATTGTCCACATAGAAAAATAAGTTGTCCTCCTTTCACTGGCTGCATCGATCAGGCAAGTGCTTCCACTTGTTCTGGCTGAGGCGGGGGGCAGGTTGCGGCAGTAGGCATAGCACAGGGGCTGAGAGCACAGCCTGGGCATGGTAGACCAGATGGACACCCCAACGCCACCATTCCCTGCTGTGCACCCCTGGGCACCTCCCTTGATCTCTCTGAACTTTGGTTCTCTCACCTGAACTGGGGTTTATGGTAGAACCCAGAGCCTGTAGCTGTTGTGACTATGAAATGAGAGCAGTGCGTGCACAGCCGGGCAATGCAGGTGCTGCAGGTGCTGCAGCTGCTGCCCGTGACAGCGCGCTGTCTGATGTGCTGCCCCCGGGACTGTCCCCGGGGCCAGGAGACCTCAGCTCTCCTGCTCGGTGGTCCGGGGACTTGTCAGCTCACCCAACCACTCTGAGCATCACTGCGTTTATTTATGACATGGACAATAACCCCTCTCGCGTAAGATTCTTATTAAGACCAGATGAAACAACACATAAAAGTACTTTAAGTGCTTTGATAACGATGATGATGATGATAATAACAATAATAATAATAACAGTAACAGCTAGAATTTATAGAGCACTCCCTACTGGCAGCACCATGGATTGCTTTTTACCTACAACTTTCCACTGAATCTTTATAACCATGGTTTATTAGTCTCATGTAAGTGGATTGGGAAGCTAGGCTCCAAGAAGTAATCTGCCCGAAGACACAGCCTGTGAGCAATAGAGTCCAAATTTGGACCCTGAGGATCTGGCTGTGTTCTCATGCTTCCCAGAAGAAGTAAACTCGTGAGGGAGGGAACAGCTTGGCGTGGGGGCTCACTTCCACCGGCAAGGTGGGTGTCGTTTGGTGTGGGAGGCTCAGAGCGTGGTCTGTGACAGGCAGTGGGGGAGCCAAGAGTCCTTGACAGTGGCAACTGGCTTTGAACCAACAAACTGAGAAATAAGATTCACTTTGTTAGGACGCTGGGTAGGGTGTTACTCAGAGAGTCATCCCTCCACTTCCTTAAAGGATCCACGGTTAGGCTGAGGCAAACTGCGGTGCCCACGTCTCAAAATAACTCCATCACTTCTAACAAGGACCAGGTCTGTACTGAAGTCATTCTTTCAGGTGCAGAAAAGGAAAGCTTGACTGTACGTCATGGACTTAAAATAGAAGCAGGGTCAGAGGGCCAGCTGGGGCTCACGGGCACCAAGCGGGCAGTTTCTCAGCTGGTGTTTCCAGATATTTCCTGCTTGAGGCAGCAGGTTTCTGCCTCCTTTTCTGAGTTGAGACGAGGTGAACGTGTGTATTTAAGAAGCTCATTTGCTTTGTTTTCTCTCTTCTCCACCGGACCAGACTCCACTCCAGGCCAGTCGCAGCCCTCCCTTGGTATCCTTGGGAGATTATTTCCAGGACACCCCCCCACCCCCAGTGGATACAAGAATCCTCGATGCTCAAGTTCCTTATATAGGCTGGCGTGGTATAGCCGGCCCTCCGTATTCGCGGGTTCCGCATCCGTGAATATGGGGGGCAGGTGGACTGTACTTGAGAATCTGCGGGAGGGGGCCCAGTGATTCCCATGCACTTGAGAGGGTTGGGAATCCTGGAATGGATAGCTCCTCCCTCCTCTCCCAGCACTGACCTCTGTGAGGGCCCAAGCCCCACCTCCACCCCGCCCACCTCCTCCACGCCCACCTGACCTTATTCACCTGGGATTCTTTTCCTGATTCAAGGATGGATGTGTTTAAGCCAAAGACACAGCTGGGGCTACATTATCAGTTTCCCAAGAAAGAATTTCTTTGTCCGGAAACCCGTTCTTTTCTTCCTTCCCCCATTTAGCCAACAATCATTGAGCACCTACTATGGGTCAGGTGCTGGGAAACAGTGGGACCAAATCTTAGAGGTCTGTAGAGACTGCAGAGTCAGGATGCCTGGAGGTTCTGCCTTTGTGTAGACAGCAAAATATCCAACCAGTTGCCTTGGCAACTCCAACCTGGAAAATGAATGCACCCATCACATTTTGTCTATCTGTTCATAGTTTTCCTAAAACCCCAGCTGTTCCACCAAAATCGATCCCTCTACCCTAAATGTCCCAAGTGTTAGTGACCAGCTCCCTAGATTTGAAGGACCCACATGCCCCCGAAGCCCTGGATCCTGCCTGCCAGCTGCTCCAAAGTGAACTGTTGATTCGGTTCAGTTGGAGGCTCCAGTTCCATAAACCAGAGGTTTTTTTCATGCATTACTTTTGAGAGTTCACTATTGCCAGACCCTATAAGGGGCACCAAGGGTGTATCAGTGACTCAGACTGACTTGGCCCTGCCTGGGGAAGACCCACAAGGGAGAACCATACCGTAGTGATGGGGGTGGGCAGGACAGGGACCATGGGAGCATTGAGGGAGCTCTAACCTGGTCCTGGAGGGACAGGATAGGACTCACAAGCTGGGATGGTTAATTTTATGCATCAACTTGATAGGGCAAAGGGATGCCCAGATAGCTGGTGAAACATCTCCAAGGGGTGTTTCTGGAGGAGGTTAGCATTTGAATCAGTAGACTGGGTAAAGCACAGACCCTCCCCAGTGTGGGTGGGCATCACCCCCACCCAGGGCACCCAAAGAGAACAAAAAAGCAGAGGAAGGGGGAATTCACTCTCTCCGCATGAGTTGAGACCCTCGCCTTCTCCTGCCCTCAGACATCGCTGCTTCTGATCCTTGGCCTTTCAGACTCAGATCAGGACTGTCACCATCAGCCCCCACCCCGGAATCTCAGACCTTTGGACCTGGGCTGAATTCCGCCACTCGCTGTCCTGGTCCTTCAGCTTGTAGGCAACAGATGGTGAGGCTTTTCAACCTCTGTAACTGTGTGAGCCACTTCCTGTAATAAATCTCTTGTCTGTGTCTCTATATATCCTTTTGGTTCTGCTTCTCAGGAGACCCCTGGCTAATATACAGACCAAGGCAGAGGAAATGAACCCCAGCCTGAGCAAGGGCCAGAGCCTGGCCTCTGCAAGACTCTGAGAGGAATTCCAGGCAGGGGCCAAAGGAATAAGGGTGGCAGGGCAGTCCCAGAAGAGAAATTCTGTTCCCGATCTGGGGCAGATGCATCCCTGGAAAGGCAGACAAGCAAAGACAGATCAAGAGCCAGTTCTCAGCCCGTCCCCTGCGCTTGGCGCGCTCCCTAGGGTGGGGTGATGTCACACAGGACCCTCCTGCTGGATCGCTTCTTGCACCTTTCAGATCTCTCCAGCCCTTGCTGGGGGTGGGGGAGCTCAGGGGGGCGCACCATCAGCTCCCAGTGGAGAGACCCCATGCTCAGCAAACGTGTGTGTACCAACCTCGCCCCCTGTGTTTATTTATAAGGCCATTCCAGACGCTGGCCCATTTGGTGACCAGACCCCGCGCCCGTCCCTCTGTGGAGCTGACAGCGGGCAGACTGGCAGATCTACGCGGAGGCTCAGGGCTGCAGACAATGGAGGATTTCATCCCGTGAGAGGGTTCGAAGCCAAGCCGGGAATTAAAGGACAATTCTTTACTCAACTCACACTCTTACCCAACCAACCAGTGAGATGGCGTGATGTCTGGAGACCTCGAACGCTTCCTCGTCTGTCCATCTCAGGTGTGATGGAGCTGGTGGAGGCCACAGGCTTAGGTTGTAAACTTCACATGTTATTCGTGACACTTTCCTGGTTCCATTAGCAGCTCCAAGGCCATATTTACACTTATGTTAAAATGACTTTTATATCTCTCTTTTCCTGGGGGTGGGGTGGGGGAGGTGCTTATGAATCAGCCAAGATAGAGTGGTTTTAATGTCCAGACACAAGTTATCATTTGAGGTGAAGCTTCCACTGTAACTGCACGAAGTCCTGCTGAAGGAAATAATCAGAGCTGACAGGAAACAGCCTTTCTCTCCAAGGGAAACAGAGACTTTGGTTTGCCGTGGGGCTTGGGGAAAGGCGGAGCTTCCCCACCCAAAGAAACAGTTCCCTGCTGACTGCAAGTTTCTGTCCTGTTGATTGTTCTGTTTGGAAGTCTGGGAAGACAGACGAAAGTTGCAGAAATTCCCCCAGATTGTTGGTTCCAGGGTCTGCTGAGGGGACTCTGTCAGCATTGACTGCAAACCCCACCTGGTCCTGCTGGGAGGAAGACCTGCCCAAGGATGGGTTAAGACCCACCTCCGGGGGGGCTGTGCTCACTGGCTTTGATCCAAGAGCTGCTGACCTCTCCCCTTGCCAAGGTCCCCTTCCCCTGCCTATAAGACCAAAATTCCCTCTCAATCACCTTCTCCCTCGTGCTGCCCCAGATGGGGAGCCAAGTGGGAGCTGACGGAGAAGGATGGGAGAAGCATGGTCCACAGACCAGGAGCCTCTCTCTGCAGGCTACGAAGCATCCTGCCTTCTCTTTCTTTGGAAAGCTCCCATTTCATGGAGTGGAGGGCCCGAGATTGCTCTGGATGCTGCCATGACCTCAAGGCCAGAGTCTGGGGAGTGCAGGACCCCTAGTCCAATCAGAAGAGGGGATCTGAAGTGGGTGTGAACGCTGGGAGGGCCTCCAGGACCGGACGAGGGGTGAGGGCGGGGCCGTGTGTCCAGACCACAGGGAGGCCGGGACCTTCTTACCACAGCCCCGAGCTTGCACCTGACTCGTGGTGAGCACGCGTTGGGGCCCAAGAATAAACTGGACAAATGGCAGCAGGAAGGGACCGGCGAGGGGCTGCTGACTGCATCCGTAATTGGCACCAGAGCGGCTCGGAACTTCCCGGTAAGGAAAGGGAAAAAGAAAGGAAAACAGAATGGTATGCAGCCTCATTGTCTAACAGAAGAAAACACACCAACTCTTAAGGGAACTTTTTTTTCCCCCTGGCAACAAATTCTTGGAAGAATTTATGTGACAAAACACCCCAGGGGAATATCCTGTGGTCAAGAAGGAGGCCACTTTCTAACTCAAGTCTGAGGGGCTTTGGAAATTCCAGTCTTGCACACGGGAGGAGGGTCAGCCAGGCCACCATTATGGTCCAGTGGGCTCCCGCGAAGGAGGTGCTGTGGGCTCCGGGAGGGATCAGAGGATGTCCCTCAGAATAAGGCAAGGAGCTGAGGTTCCCCCAACCCGGGGACTAGAGGTGAAGGCCAAGGGCTATGACAGAGACCGAGTACCTCAGTTACATCCTGTCTATCCTTTGGGACAACAGTTCGGGGGGAGCCAGGAGGGCGGGAGCTTGCTCCCTGGCCGGGGCTGGCTGAAGCAGGCCAATTGCAAAGGTCAGAATCAGTGGTCAGCGATTCACCAAAGCCAGGAAAGCAGCCCTGGGCCTCTGGGAGAAAGGAGCCCCGGGGAGCTCCTGAGTTATGAGGATGCAGCTCCTGGGCCTTTTCAGGCTCTGGGTTCAGGGCAGGTCGAGGCTGAATAAGTCATGCACGCAGGAAGGAAAGAAAGAGGGAGAGGAGAGGCTATGGAAGGAGAGGCAGAAAGAAACAGGAAGCTGGGAGGATGGAGGGCAGGACAGAGGGCCCACGGGACACTGGGTCAGCAGCAGAGGCCAGGCCGAGGCTGTGATGGGCTGTCCTGCTGCCTCTGCTGTCTGGCTTACCATGATTGTATCAGGGCCTCAGGGAAAACAACCTTACCAGCAAGGGCAGGGTGGGGGGCGTGGGAAGTTGTCCAAATGGGAGGCCTGGGCCGTTGGCTGCTAGGGAGGTTGGAGGTTAAGATGCTGTGTTGGCAGAGTGAGGGGAGACCAGAGCATCGGGGGCAGTGCTGAATTTAGGGGTCCAGGCAGGGTTTTCCTGGGGAGGTAGACCTGGGTGGAGGGCGACTGTAGAAGCCATGGATGATCTGGCCCACGGTCTCCTCATCCCTTAAACCAACCCCCCCCCACCACACACACACACATGGGATAAAGTCACACTAGTTTTCGGGGAGAAGGGAAGAGAAATACTAGCAGACTGAAGGGTTAAATAAGTGACTGGGTGACAGAAGGTGTGAGAGTTTATCTGTCTGCAGAATCAGAGAGGAGGGGGCCATGGCCTGGCCTTGCCTGAGGGCTGCAGTGAGACTCCCAGGCCACCTGGCTGGGAGGGCTGAGGACAGAGGGATGGAGACGGGTCTGCCTGGACTCTCTGTGGTCCAACTTCTCCACCCACTGGCACATCTCAGCTCCCCAAGGACTCAAGAAGACTCAGCATGGCTGCAGAGTCCCCACCCCTTGAAAACAGCAAAGTGCTTCTGGGGACAGAGAAACATCTTAAGAGATGCTCAATTTGACCCCTTTGAGATTTCAGGAAGAGGTTCCATCCAAAAACCAAACAACCAAAACCATCCACCAAACTGCAGATGCCAGCATCCTTGTAGACAGGGAGAAAATAGATACCTTGACCACATTGTGAGTGAGCTATGAAATCTCTCACCTTGGGCCTTCCCTGTCCTCCTGGACCCAGCCCCCACCCAGCCCATCTGTAACCGAATTTAGAGCAAACAAATTTGGAAGTAGATTTGATTGTCTAAATATATGAACCACTATTTATTACTTTAGCAGGCGTGAGACATGAATTCTTCTCCATTTTAATTTTTAAAGTTGTATAGAAAATTGCAAGTTTTCATCAGAAAAAGATAATGCTCACGATCTACTAGAAATCACGTTTTATAGAAACTTCCGAGTTTTCCCCAGACAAAAGGCCTCAGGTTTGGGGTTCGCCATGGGTGTCAACAAGCTGAGCCTTGTCCTTGAAGCAGCCGTGACTCAGCTGATTCAAAATAAACTTGAGTGTGAATTCTTCTCTCCGGAGATGGAGCATACATCCTTGGCACACGCCCTGTGACCACTGCGTCACCTCCGTAACATCTGCTCAGGGATGTCGCAATTGTCCTGACTCACGGGGGAACCACAGGCTGCAAATGGCCAAGCTGCTCACACACGGCGGGGTGGGCTGCACGTCACCTGCAGTGTGAGTCAGCAGCCAACAGACGCCCTCCAAAAGGAGCAGAAAAAACAAGAGAGCGGCTCGTCCTTGAGAAGGCACCAGGCCACGGTGGTTTGGGGGTTTCGGTGGTATGCTGCTGATCAGGAGCGTGACTTGTCATCCTCGCCAACCAAGTTGGTCAAAATAGTAACAGTTGTTTCTTTGGGCAGGCAGAGGTCAAGGCTGGGCCAGAAAGGCTGCATGTGCTTGAGCCCTGGGCCAGGCACCTGCACCGTCCGGGCACCTCCTCTGCCTTCCAGGCCGGTCCTCGGTTGCACCACACTTGGGTCTTCTCTGGCCCCTGCAGTTCCTCCTGCCACGTGCGCAGGGTCCCTTGTGACCCAGCAAAAAGGGAAGTCTCAGCCAGGAAACAAACTGAGGGTTTTGTGCCCACTGTCAGGTCTTCCCGTGACCCTGCTCTGCCGACAGCCCTGCCACCAGCTCTGGAAACAGCACACGGTGCCTGTGGGCTGGGCCTCCATCACCCCAGGCCCTTCGGAAAGCAGAGCTGAGAGGAGCAAGGGTTTGAGCTTTTGCGTTTGGGAGATCAGGGCGACCCCGGTTCCGGAGAACTCTGTCCGCGTGTCGTCAAGACTGTAGTTAGGGGAGAACATTTGGCACCGTTTATCTTTCAAATACACACATGGAGGAAGGTGTCAGCATGATAGCCTTGTGACCAACAGAACAGCCCAGTTCTGCAGAGTCCCCTGAGAACGAGAGAGCCTTCACCTTTGGGAGCCGGGTCCCCCACTCAGAGCATCTGCTATGGGCCCAAAAGCTTTTCCCAGGAGGCGCTGGTCTGGAGGGAGAGCCCAGAAAGGGGGAGGCTGATGCTCTCAGGAACCCCTGGAAGAGGCTCCAGGGCTCAGGGACAGGTAATTGTCATCAAGGCTGGAGTTCAGGCGAGGCCCGTCAGAAGAAAGCCTTGGTACTGTGCTTTGAAAGCTGACCCCAGAGCTCTCCAATTCGAATTCTTTTTCTTTTCTCCAATTCTGGGCTTCTCCACCTGGTCCTTCCACAGCGTACAGCCTCAGCAGGCCCCCTGACAGCTGAAGCCCGGCTCCCGGGCCTGCCCGGGTCTGCTCGCCCTTCACCATCTCCGCCTCTCACGCCCCAGGCACCAGCCTCGTGTCTCCTCGCCATGAGGATCTGACGTCCAAAAGCCCCCAGTGCCCCAGTGCTGGGTTATTAGGGTCATAACCTCTGACCATTTCCCCCAAAACGCACACAAATAAAAACAACAAATACACAATTTTAGGATGTTGAAGTTTCCTCGAATCTAGATTAGGTGCCTCTGGATGCATGAAACTCTGGCCCATAGACATCAAATAACTCCCCATGCCCACACTGCGCTCTCTGGTAACAAGTACAAAGCGAGCCCTCTGACCAGGCTCTCATTGGAAAGGATCTTTCTTGAGCTTGACCTCCTCTTTTGAGAATCTAATGAAAGCCATGGATTTTTCCCCCCATGAAATGCACGTAATCCTAATATGGCTGCAATTTAGCGTTTGTTTTGGGAAGTTTCACACTCTTCCTGAAGTCAGTTCATGAAAATCCAACTCTGCTTTCTGATGACATTCAATTAATTCTGAGTCCAAGCACACCCTCTCCCCTGATGCCCCAATTAGGATGATTCCTCCTCCATGGGGGTCTCCCCTGAACCCCCAACTGGAAATCCTCTTCCCTTCCTTGGGTTTCCACACTCATGCTCTGGCTCTCCGCCCTGTGACACCCCAGGGGTCAAGGCTGTGGGGGTCCCTGTATCTCTTGCCATGGACTTATGGTCAACATGTCATTTTTTAATTTATTCAATTTTTGAAGAGGGCTCATGGAATAAGGGACCGTGGCTGTCTTCTTCAATGCACTGGACATGTGAGTCTCTCCCGCCCAAATGTTAAAGCATATTGAGCAGAAGAGACAACTTGGTTGGATCTAAGTTTGCTTATTGGATCAGAAATATAACAGAACCAGGAGAAGGGCAACTGATCAAAGTCTGGATGAGGAGACGTCAAAAAGAGTGAGAATTTTTAATCCATGAAGATGGTGGCCAAGAGAGCATGTATGTAATATCAAGGAAATCATAAAGACTCTCACTAACACATCCTGGGATGTACTTACCAAAATTGAAACTCCTCAAATTAAGGGGACCTGCAAAAATAGAAAGAGACAGCATCGTCTATTGGCTCCAGCACTAATTCGTGTAGTGGGTAAGGGAAACATACGGCTCTCATTAATCTGAGAGGTTATAGACACAAATATAGACAAAGAAAGGTTTAGAGATTGCTGAAAGAAATGAAAGAAGACCCAAATAAATGGGAAGACATCCCGTGTTCACAGGTAGCCAGACTTAATATTGTCAAGATGTCAGTGTGACCCAAAGCAAGCTACAGATTCAATGCAATCCTTATCCAAGTTTCAACAACCTTTTTCACAGAAAGGAAAAAGCCTATTTTCAAATTCACATGGAATCTCAAGGGGCCCGAAATGTCCAAAACAATCTTGAAAAAGAAAAAGACAGTCAGAGAATGTACACTTCCTGATTTTAAAACTTACTACAAAGCTATAGTAATCCAAAGAGTGTGACACTAGCATAAGAACAGATACACAGATCAGAGGAACAGAATAGGGAGTTCAGAAATAAACCCACACATCCATGGCCAACTGAATGTTTGACCAGAGTGTCAAGTCCATTCAGTGGGAAAGAACAATCTCTTTAACAAATGGTGCCAGGACAACTGGATTTCCACAAGTACAGGAAAGAAGTTGAACCTTTATCTCATATCACATACAAAAATTAGCTCAAATTCAATCAATGACTTTAATATACAAACTAAAACCATAAAACTCTTAGAAGTAAACATAGAATTGAATCTTCATGATGCCATACTTGGCAGTAGATTCTTAGATTTGACACCAAAGGCATAAGTAACAAAAGAAAAAAATAGTTCAACGAGACTTCATTAAAAGTAAAGACTTTTATGCACCAAAGGACATTATAAGGAAAGTAAAAAGACAATTTACAGAACGGGAGAAAATATTTGAAAATCATATAACTGGTAAAGACTTGATAGCCAGAGTATATAAACTACTCCTACAGCTCGACAACAAAAGACAATTTAAAAATGTGGAAAGGACTTGAATAGACATTTCTCCAAAGAAGGTACACAGCTGGCCAATAAGCATATGAAAAGACATTAACATCATTAGTTATCAGAAGAATGCAATCAAAAACAATGCAAATCAAAACCACAATGACACACTACTTCAGACCCACTAGGATGGTAATAACAATAAAATACTACTAAAAATGGGGAAGATGTGGTGTAATTAAAACTCTTGTGTGTTGCTGATGGGAATGTAAAATGATACAGCTGCTCCGGGAAACTGGTGTTTCCTCACAAATCTAAAGATAGAATTACCATATGACTCAGCATTTCCACTCCTAGGTATATAACCCAGAGAATTAAAAACAGGGGCTTACACAGGTACTTGTAGGTCCACGGTCATTGCGGCATTATTGACAATAGCTAAAAGGCAGAAACAATCCAAATGTCCATCAACGAATGACCAGATAAATCATATATGCTGTATACTTACAATGGAGTATTATTCAGCCTTAAAAAAGATGAAGTGCTGATACATACTGCAACGCGAATGAACCTTTAAAACACTGTGTTAATTAAAGAGAGCCAGACACAAAGGGACAAATATTATATGATTCCACTTAGAAGAGCTACCTAGAACAGGAAAATTCATAGTGAGAGAAAGTGCATTGGTGGTTACCAGGGGCTTGGGGAAGGGAGACTGGGGAGTTATGGGTTAATGGGCACAGAATTTCTGTTTGGGTGGATGAAAAAGTTTTGCAAATAGATAGTGGTGACGGTTCCGTAACACTGTGGATGTACTTAACGTCACTGAGTTGTATACTTTTTTATAAAGAAGTGTTTCGAGAAATGTCTTATCACAGGTCATCAAGAGCAAGGAGGGATGAACCACTGGCCTTTGCAGTGCCCTTTGTCCCAGAGTTTCCTTTCTCAGCAGAGAGTGGCTCTTGTCACAGCCATGGAGGCCTCCCTGGGGTCCATATGACTGCAGACGTCCCAAGGTCAAAATGGAATAGGGAAGTGCATCTCAGGCACCTGTCGAGCTGCTGGCCACTGGTGTGCCCTGGAGCATCAGCTGTCTCCCAGGTAGCGAACGTCCTCCTGTGATAACATTTTCAGTCTTTTAGAGGAATAACCACAACAATAAAGGAAACTACATTTTACTAATTTACTGGCAAAAAAGAAAGAAACACACACACATGAGGCTTTCCCAAAAGAGAGACATCAATTTCGATAGTAGCAATGACTACCGTCTCCAGAAAGATATGCACTTGGCCTGTTTGCAGCCCAGAACGTCCTACCTCATTCCCTGACGGCATGCACACCCAGGCTGCTGTCGGGTACCCCACGGAGTTTTCAGGTTGCTCACTGTGGGCTAGGCGTTGTCCCCGGTGGTGTCTGTTAGGATTCTGTCATTGCTAGAAAGAGACTCCAGCCAGCTCAGACAAAAGAATGCAAGAGAAGGTGACAAGGGGCTCGGGGAATTTGGGAGGGGGTCCCAGGCTGCTCCAGAAGGCTTGGAAAGAGGGAAGTACGACCCTTGCCTCATAGAAGAGGCTGTTATCCCAGGTCCCAGCTGGACCCAGTGATCCTCAGTCCCTGCTTCACTCAGCAGATGCTCGACCCTGGGTGAGGACCAGGTGACGTCACACGCTCCTCTGGGAGGGGCCAAGGGCAGGGAGAGAAAGGATTCTGCCTCCTGTACGTGCAGGGCGGAGGGCAGCTCCTACGGTTATTCTCCTACTGTACCAAACCCAGAGGGGCAGAAGTCTTCCCCCACGGGAGACTGGGGGGCCCACAGGCACCCAGACTGAACATGAGACAGCCAAAAACCCAACACATACATTAAACCACGCCCCTCCTAGATAAACATCCAAATCCCACTGGACTGAGAATCAAGGGTCAGGACACATACGAGGCTTTATAAATATTTCCTCTCTAGGAATCTCAGGGTGTGTTTGTGCATCTGGAGTAACTGGTGCCTGGTGGAAAATCTGTGGGTTTTTAACTTTGGCAGAACAGTCTAAGCTCCCTGTGTTTTCCCAGCAAAAGATGATGCCCCAGCTGCCTTACTCTCAAAGTCTTGGTGGCAGCGGCCCCCGGTCCTCCCCGCCAAGGCCAAGGCCGAGGCCGAGGAGACTGCTCCCGGCATGTCAATGGCCGGGCGATGCTTCCCCAGGGCAGAGGCTTGGAGGGACCCCCTGGGCAGAGACTGTGGACGTTGGTGCTGTCACTCCCTTCTCCTCGCTCGTGCAGCTGACCCCTGGGACATAGAAATGACTCTCCTGGCATGAATGACAAGTGCAGCTTGTTCCTGTTCCCAGCAATCTGCACTGCTGTGTTAGTGCCAGGTCAGAGGCGGGGCGGGAAGCCAAGAGAGGGGTCAGGGCCCCGCTGGCAGAGAGGGGCACTCAGCGCCAGCTGTGGGGGGGGTTAGGGTAGGGGAGCACATCTGCCCACAGTAGGGGTGGATCTGTGGGTTGGGTGGGAGGGGCGGCTTAGGTCGTTTGCCCACCCCTTGGTGGTGCTGTGTGCAGGGATCATGTGCAGTGCCCTGCTTTTGCTCCCCGAGCCTCAGAATTGGCAGCTGGGGTTTGGCCTTTTTGTATCTTTTTTTTTTTGGCCTTTTTGTATCTTACTGTCCATAATTTGCTCTAACTTCTCATGCATGCAATTGTTTTTAGCTCCTTATAGTTTCTTTGTATTCTATTGCTGGAGGAGACATTTGTTCAGGTGCAAGCAGTCCAGCAAAGGGTCCCAGGTCCCAGCCTATCTCAGTAGGAGTTCTGCACGGAGCCTGTCCTGGAGACCATGCTGGATTCTTCCCAGGACTATCCTAGGAATCTCATCAGACTCACAAAGAAGCTTCAGTTACTGGTCTCATCAACAAATAAGGAAACTGAGGCTCAGAAAGGGGAGGCCAGGGTCACACAGCTGAAAACAGCAAAAGAGGGAAATGAACTTGCAATGCTGGACCTCCCCAGGCCATGCTCTATTTCCCTTGGATGCAACAATACCACCTCCTTCCACCACCCATGCCCAACCCAGGTGTTTGAATTAGAAAAGATTTTCCAACTATGATTTGAAAAGACACATGCACCCCCAATGTTCACAGAAGCACTACTTACAACAGCCAAAATGTGGAAGCAATCTAACTGTCCACCAACAGATGACTGGATAAAGAAGATGTGGTGTATATATATATACAAAGGAATATTACTCGGCTGGAAAAAGGTAAAATAATGCCGTTTACAGCGACATAGATGGACCTGGAGATTGTCATACTAAGTCAGATAGAGAAACACAAATATCATATGATATAACTCATATGTGGAATCTAAAAAAATGACACAAGTGAACTTATTTACAAAACAGAAACAGACACATAGACATAGAAAACAAACTTATGGTTACCAAAGGGGAAGAGAGAGAAGAATAAATTAGGAGTTTAGAATTAGCAAACAGAAACTACTATATATGTAATAGATAAACAGCAAGGTCCTACTGTATAACACAGGGAACTATATTCAATATCTTGTAATAAACCATAATGGAAAAGAAAAAAAGGAAATATCTTTAAAGCGCGAATAATCAATATTACTGGGGATATACTTCACTCACACTCCGCCCTGCCCACAATAACTTAATTATATCCTATTCTTCCCAAAGCTCCTGGTATTACAACCTAATGCCTGGCTGGCATCAGATAAATGTGTTGCCTTCAGGACAATCCTCAAAAGATTAGGATTCAGTTTCCCTGGTTCTCAACTGGCTAATTGATTAAAAAGGATGAACACCAAATATTTATTCGCTGTGTTTTCGTGGAGCAGTCCTACTTGGAGCGGGATGGGGAGATGGAGAAACATTTAGAAAGTTAAAGTGGAAACCCGGTGCTGCGCTGTCAATTTCAGGATGAGGTAATAAAGAACCGGCAGGTGGGGACGATCACTTCTGATGTCGGCTGAGGTGACAAAGGGAACGTTCTCCATTTTTAACTCCCTGGTTCACATCGGGAAAGCGTTGGCCAGTTTTAAGTTGTTGGCACTAAGCACAGACCGTGTGACTGACCGAAGGCAGCTGACTCCCCTCTTCTGGTTAATGACGTCGTTTCTCGCATGTCCAGGACCCTCATCTTTGCACTCAGCTGGCAGCCACGTTCCGCTTTGGTGCTGAGCTCTTCCAAACAAGCCTAGGCTCTAATCATACCCAAACCAGTCAGATTTAGGGATCAGAATTTCCACATTCTCATGCTACCAGCAAAGTTCAGTAATAATAACAATGAATGCAAAACAACCGAACAGCATCCAGAGTTCTAGGGGTGACCTGTACTCATCCCAGCAGCCAAAAGGAAACAAGCCTTTGACAACCGGTGAGGGGGCCGGTGGGGTCTCAGAAGACAGACCCTGGTTCAAGTTTGGGACCCGGGGTCTCAGGAGCCCCTCAGCTGCTCCAGGTAGAAGTGAACACTCCACTACCATCTGAGGGGCCCTGGGGAGACCTTCAGTCACCTTCCTCTGACCTTGTGAAGGTGGGTGCAGCCTCCCTAACCCCTGCCCAGAGTGCCTTCCTGCCCCAAGGGCCCCAGTGCCTACTCTGTGGCCTCCACCTCCCTGTCTGGGGGACCTGATGTAGAAAGCTCACTTCTTCCCCTGTTTGGGTGCAGTTCGGATAATTTTCAATACATCCCTTTTTGCTCTTCATCAACTTCAAATGTATCAAGATGTCCTGAGGGCGAAAGAACCGATTTTACTCTCTGATTAGAAGGAATGCTCTTGGCCTCAGCCTGGCTCATTTTGAAATACTGACATTAACTGGGGGGGAAAATCACTCAAGCTCTCTTGTTACTTCCTGTGCTTAATTAAGTGGCTCTGCAGGTGACTCAACCCTTTCATTTTTCAGAGTGACATCAGACTTATTTTCCATTTTAATAGCCTGGTTACTTCATCGATTTTTTAAAAAAATCCAATTTCACTTTTTAGTGCAATTTTCTTATCTGTTGGTTTTTTTTTCTCCCCTCCACCTCGGGAAATGCAAATTCCCTTAGTGGCTAAACCCCAATTGGTACAACTGTCAACTGTCTCCTTTTTTTTTTCCTTTTGAGTCCAGGGTCCAAAAAGAATTTGAAGAAGGAATTATAGGGTGAATTTTTTACTTCACCTAATTATCTAAATAACGTCACGATGTGTTGGAGTTATTAATATCATTATCTGGTGCTTCTCCTGAGAGGGGTGCCCAAGTCCTGAAGGTGACATCTGGGTCCCTGCAAAAAGCCACATCTGGCTGTCAGAACCCTTCTCGCCCACAGGACCCTCGCCACATTCGTCACTTGCCCCTGTTGATTCAAGGCGGAGGATTCCAAACTCATAAGTGGATTTCCAGCTTCTTTAATATTGATCAGGCGACTGCGTGACATTTATGAATCTGGGGGTGCATTGTCATTGCTGTTTGGTGAGTTCTGTCGTTTGAGGGAGACGTGGGAGTCACTCATCCTAGTATGACACAGTTTGGACTCGGGCCTTCTGAGAAAGCAAAGGCCAGTGTTCCACGTGGCGTGTGGCTTTTATCGTTTATCTTCTGTTTGAGGGTTAGTTTGTTTGCTCCTTGGGTGTGCTGGGGGAATTTCATTTTCTGCATGTGCTAAAGGGTCATCCTTCACTGAATCTTCATGCCCTGCTTCAGTTCCCCAAGAGGAGCCACCCCAGCAAGGGCCCAGAGGGCCTTCCCTCTGAGCCTGGCCCTGCTCAGTCCTCAGTGTTAGCAGGGAGGCTATGTGGCCCAGACCGGCTAGCACTGGCCCACAGTGGCCCACAGTGGCTCCAGCCTTCTCTCCCAACAGGGAGGGGCCTGGAC